GGGCAGCGGGGTCCCGCCGCCTGTGCGGCTTTGCTCGGGTCTCCCTGCTGTGCTGGGGGGAACTCCCTCCCACCCCCCAGCACAGCAGAGAGACTGGAGCAAAGCCGCAGAGGCGGGGGACCCCGCTGCCTGTGCGGCTTTGCTCGGGTCTCCCTGCTGTGCTGGGGAGTCCCCCCCAGCACACCAGGGAGACCCGGAGCAGCTTTTCTCGCCCCGGAGGACGCGGTGGCAGGACTGCTGCGCTCTGGGCGGTCCCGCCACCCGCGAGCTCCGGCGCGAGAAAAGCCCCGTTCGTAAGTGCGGATCTGACATAAGTCGGATCCGTGTAAGTCGGGGACTGCCTGTATTTGATCACGTGGGTCGGAGCTCACCTGCCCATGCAGGCTGGTCTTGCTGCACGTGTGTTCCTTGATATTGCACAGCTCAGCAGCTCTTAGCTGCATCCCCATGTCATTGCCCCTACCTCTCTCTCTCAATGCTGGGAGTCGTCCTGCTGCTCATGCAAGCCCCTGGAGCTAAATTGTAGGCAGGCGCAGGCCTTATGTGAACAGAAACAGCTGCATGAGGGGTTTGGTCTTGTGCTCAACAGGGAGTTGAGCTCCTCCTTTCAGGCTTCACTGCACTGCGCCCCAGCAGCACGCTTTCAGGGGACCTGCACGATCTCCTGCTGCTTTCGGTGGGAGCAGGGTTGGATCCTATGCAGCATTCGCTTTCCTTCAGTTGAAGCAGTGAATAGAAGAGGCAAAGGGGGGTGGATATCAACATGGTATTACACATCCCAGTTTTTCAGTCTTCATATTGTTTCCCTTTCTGTTGCAGAGATAAGCTGTTTCCTGCGTTTGGGTTCGGAGCTCAGGTTCCTCCAAACTGGCAGGTAGGTCTCTCAGACTTCTGCCAGCACTTGTGTGCACATCAGGTTTTCGCCAAACAGCTGTAACTGTTCTCTTTTCCAGGTTTCTCATGAATTTGCCTTGAACTTTAACCCCAACAACCCCTATTGTCAGGGTAAGCACACCTTTGTCTTTGTTAATGTTTCTTAAATAGGAACTGCTGGTTTACATTGTTCAGGCTTTTTATCTCCACAGAAATCACATTTGCTCTTTCTGGCAGTAGAGGTCTTAGTTTGTGGATGCCTATGAATCTGGAGTATTTGAAAACTCATTTCTTCACCACATACTCACTAAATACTCATTCTTTTGGAAAGGCAGCTTTTACAATTATTGAGGGTTATATCTTTTGCTCTCAGAAGCCACGTTGTTCAACAGTAGCTCATCTGCAATCTTTTCAGTTGTTCTTTTTGAGTTGGATTATGAAGCCCTTGCAGCAAAAGACTCTCTCGTTCCCTCTTATTCAGTTCTTAGCACACGCTCCTTACATTTAAGAAACTTCAGTGTTTCTGTCTTGTCTGGGCCAATAGAAAATTACAAATCTGTGAATTTCTGTGGGTGAGCCCAGGTGTCCCTTCCTGTAGTGAACATGGTTGCCTGCTGCATTGCAAGGA